TCCTCCTTTTTTTTCCCCCCAAAGCCCCAGTGGATAGTTGTATGTCATAGCTGCACATCCTTCTAGTTGCTGTATGTGGGACGTGGCCTCAGCATGGCTGGAGAAGCGGTGTGTCGGGGCACGCCCAGGATCCAAACCTGGGCCGCCAGCAGCGGAGTGTGAGCGCTTAACCACTAAGCCACGGGGCCAGCCCGAGATTCCTAGATTTTAAAACTGAAAGGGACCTGAGAGGATCCATCTCATATGAGAATCCATTGCTGTCCTATTTGTGTCAGTTTCACAAGTTTGCCACGTGACCTGCTAGGTGTTAGGTGGGTTGACCAACCATCTTGGTTGTCTATGACTGAAGGGTTCCCAAGGATGCTGGGCCTTCAGTGCTAGAAGACGTAAAGTCCCAGGTAAACTGGGATGAATTGGTCATGCTACCTGGCCCCTGCCCTTAGAGGACAGGACAGGATGGGACAGGACAGACGCTTGGATACAATAAAGCAGGTGTGTTTGGGGGGGCATTGCCTCTACTTGATGCTGGAGCTCAGAAAGGGAGATGTCCATGAGGTAGAGCAATCAAATGCGCTTCCTGGAAGAGGAGGGTTGGAGCTGAGCCTTGAAGGGCTGATGCCGTTTGTGGCAAAGCAGCCATGTAGAAGCTGTAGGAACCTGAACCTAGAAACCAGAAATAACAGGGCATGGCTGTGTCTCAAGAAAAATGAGGGGAGTGTGAGAACAGGCTCAGCCCTGAGGTGGTCATGGTGAGCCCTGAAATTACTAGCCCATCCTCAATGCCTCCACGTCCTTCCTCCCAAGCCCACGTCCAAAGTTTTCTGTGGGCAGATCTCAGCCCTGGCAGAAAGCTCTGGAGATTTTTTATATAATGTTGGAGAACAGAAGACATGCCAATCAGGGGCAAACGCCCAAATGTGGGAGGGTCCTGCTAGTGGCTGGGGAGGAGGTCTGCCTGGGACTGTGGTGCAGCCACCATGGGACAGCTCTGCCAAGTCTGAAAGAGATCTCCCTGCATCTTGGTAAAGAATGACCTCTTCTCTGTTTGGTTTCATGTTGCATTATAAGCGTCAGTAACAGCAATGTCATGCTCTGGTGTACCATCTGGTACTGAGGGGAGAGGCTCTGGGCCCATCACTGCTTGCCTGCCCTTCCCAAGGTGAGCCAAAAGGCACCCAGAAAGAGCCGTCCAGGAGACCCGGGAGTGCCATGGACACGCTTCTACTTCAAAGTGTGTTCCTGCTTTGGGGTCTAAAGATGTCTATCCAGGGCTGGCTGGAGCCTGGGGAATGTTGGGTAAAGTTCTGGGGGTCTGAGGGAGGCCCATTCCCTCCATTTTCTCCTATCTCCAGAATGATGTCCAGGGCTGTGGGTGCAGAGTGGGAGGGAGCAGTCTACACTTTGATTTCACCCAGTTTTCATTCATTCCTCTATTTTTATTGAGTGCCTGCTCAATACATTTATGGAGTGACTGTGGTCAGCTGGGCACTGAGGTTCTGACCGTGCAAACCGGTCCAAGTGCCCACAGCCCCTGTGTTTAGGTCCTTCCTTTCCCTTCCGCTTTGCTGACCCTCACACCTTGCAGAGAGGCAGAGCAGTGGGGAGTCTCATTTTACGGATCTCCAATTTCCAGTTGAGGAGACTGAGGGTCAGAGTAGAACCCCCAGGTAATGACCCTCAGTCTGGGCCTGAGTCCTGGGGACCCAGAAACTAGGTGGGGTTGGTGTAGTGGGTCCTAGAATATCTCAGCTGTAGTGATCAGTGAATAGCCGATATGGAGATCATTAACTTTCTTGTCTCTTCTCTGTGCATTTGCTCTCGTGGTTGCCCCTGCTGGGAATACTTCCCCTTCCCATCTGCCTGAATCTCTTCCAGTCTTCAACGAAAGCCCGCGTAAGGCCCTGATCATTCTGGTAGCTTTGGTGCTGACTCCTCTCCCCTCCCCACCCCTGTTAGCCCCTCTGTACCTCCACTGCTTTGACTGCTTAGTGCCCCTCACAGCCTCCCAGCACATCTGCCTGTATGTGTCCCTGCTGTGGGACTCTGAGCTCAGGGAGGAGGAGAACATGGCCTGAGTGCCCCCCAGGGCCTGGCACATGCCCTGTGGCCAGGAGGAGCTCAGCACCGCACTGTTGAGCTTGTTCTGGGGCTGAGAAGGACCTCAGCGGCTAACATGTGGCTTCTTCTCCCCGACTCTGCAGCAGAAGCTGGTGTGGGCGCTGACGATCGCCATCCCCCTGGTCACTGTCCTGTACATCCTGGTCAACATCAGTTATCTGCTAGTATTGTCACCCAGTGAGATCCTTTCCTCTGATGCTGTGGCTGTGGGCTGGGGGTGAGGGATGTTTCCTTGGCCACTGGGCAGGCATTCCAGGATGGGGAAGGATAGTGCCCCATGTGTATTTCAACTTGCCTCTGATGCGTTGCTTGCTCCTTTTCTGAGTGGGCCTTGTTGCGGTCTTCCAGGTTGCTGCTGAGGTTTTTTCCCTTGATCCCTCTGTTGTCCTAGGAACCAGGTTCTGGGGGGCTGGGCCTGGCTGATGCCCTTGGCTGTTGTACTGTCGACATTCGGCTCTGCCAATGGGACGTTCTTCAGTGGAAGCCGTGTGTGCTATGTGGCTGCGAGAGAGGACCACATGGTCAGAGATGGTTCTGGCCTGGGCAAGGTGGTGGGGGCTGTAGGAGGGGTGCTGGAAGGACTGAAAGCTAAGCTGTCTCCTGCTGGAAGCCTAGCATGTAGGCCAAACCAGGACTTCCCCTATCAGACATAGCCATCCCTTTCTGAGAATGGGACTCAAGCACTCCACGCCTCTGCATTTAAACTCCAGTCCCTTTACTTCCAGGTTTTGGAAGATCACCATACTGGGTCCCACTGCGGAGGTTGTAGGTGGTGGAGACGTTTGTGTACGCCAGTGGTGCGGGGGCAGAGGAGGGGAGCAACAGGAGCAGAGCCGCTGTTTACCCTCTGGGCCACTCTCCCAGGGGACTCTCTGTCACTGGTAGCTTTTGCTGCAATAATGCTGAATGATAGACAACCCCCAGATCTCAGTGGCTTACGACAAGAAACATTCCATTGTCGTTCATGAGTCGACGGGTCAGCTGTGGCTCTACTTCAGACTGGGGCTTGTGGTCAGATCTTCTCATTCCGACTGTGAGTCCATTCTTATCTCAGGGACCCAGGCCAAAGCAGCAGTGGCTCCTGGGGCATGTTTTTGCCATCGCAGGTGGCAGGGTTTCAAGAGACCAAACCAAACCACATAAGCATATTTAGAGCCTCTGCCGTGTCACTCCTGTTCCCATTTCACTGGCCAAGCCCAACATCAGTGGATGCGAAACTATATTTCTCCCACAGACGTGGGGAGAGGGAGACTGAACATTTCCTAAACAATAATACAGTCTGCCACAATAACCTAATATCCCCATCCGTGCTCCATCCATACCTGTCCCACCCTCTCCCCCGTCCTGGTCCCTCTTCCTATCTTGGGGGTGAGCAATAGCAAGTCGAAAGACCTGGCCAGGCACCTGCTACAGCTCTCCACACTCCAGCCCCTCATTCTAAGCTATTTGGGTTTTGGCTGGCCTGGAAGGACTGGCCCCCCAACCTGCATCCTGCGCCTGGTCACCCCAAGTGAGCCACAGAGACCTACATCTGGGAGCCATGGAGACTGGGGACTATTAGGTTGGGCACGCTGGCATCCAGAGTGCGTTTGGCAGAGGAAGAGGGCTGGGAGCTTTGGGGGACAAACACACACTGCAGATCCCCTGGGGGCTGACTGATGCTTGGCTTTGCTTCCCAGCCCCGACTTCTGTCCATGGTTCATGTGCATCGCCTCACACCAGCTCCAGCCCTGATGTTCACCACGGCAGTGGCTTTGGTCCTGGTCATCCCAGGAAACTTCGGCACCATTGTGAACCTCTTGAGGCAAGTGAGACTGCCCTCCTAGGCTGGGTATCTGAAGGCCCCTGTGTGTACACACTTTATATGTATGTGTGTGTGTATATATATATATATATATGTAAATATGTGCATGCACACTTCTGGAGCCCCTTATGTGTGTACACACTCACACATGTACATATACATGTTTAAGTATGTGGACGCACGCTTCTGTAAGTCCCGTAAGTATATAAACATGTGCATGCACACTTCTCGAAGCCCAGGCTCGGGGCCCTTGCACATGTACATGCATTTCAGCTGTTCTTTCCCAGTTATGTTTCCAAAATTCAATGTGGCTCCCTCCTCTCTTGCCCTGTTTCCAAAATTCAGTGAGACAGATGTTTCACCAAGAGACAGACAAGTTACAGTCGTGTGTTGTCTTTGTCATTTGTTCTTTTTCCTTGTTTATTCTAGCACTAAGATGATGTTAAAGGATATTCAGCCTTTACTCACACTACTTGTAGTCCTTGGCTCTGGTGTAATTTTTCCTTTGTAGTCTGGTCTGTGTGCTGGATTCTGACCCAACATATCTCTATTGAACTCAGGGCAGACACACAACGAAGCTGTGAAAGCATAATTAGTGATTGCAACAAAGTGGGGAGATGTTCTGACTCCCTTTATTACCTTCCCTGGGACAGAAATTATGGGCTGTTGCATTATCCAGTTGTAATTTTTAACATCCTTTGCAGCAGGTTCAATGGGCAGATCCTTAAACCAAGAGGCAAAAATAATGTCTGGGTGCAGAGGGAGTGCTCAGAGTAATTTTTCAAGCATTACATGTTCTCTTCCTTCGTTGTTACAAGTATGATTAATCTTCTGGAACAGGATAGACAGTGCTCGATGTGACTTCTTCAGAACATTCAGTAACAGATATGGTTTTTCTTTGTGTTTTTTTCCCATTAAAAAAAAATGAACTCATTATATGATGAGAATGAAATCAAATCTGTGTGTGCATAGGGGTCTTCAGGCTGAGATTGGGGAATGTGACTGAGGGTGTCCATCCCAACTAGGACCCAATGTCTCCTGGTCTTGAGTGCCTCAAGAGATGGCCTAGTTTGGACCCCGTCTTCAAGGTGGGATGGGGTTTTCATCAGACCTACATCAGCCACTCAACTACACACACTAGGGAAGACAGAGGCCAGGGGTTTGTCTGGGTGCTCAGTGGCCCACTCCGTCACCAACCCTAAGGTGGGGGGGGGGAGGGATCTGCCATAAGTATGCTGGTCCCTGAAGAGAGCACAGGCTTCCTTGAGATTCCACCAGACTCTCTTTTTTGCGAAACACAGACACACCCCCCTCTCTTTGAAAATTGGCCTCCTCTGTCCAGCCGGGGGCAATCAGAAAAGGCCTGATCTGGAGATATGTGGGTGACTGGGCTTGGGCGTGTGCCACTTTGTGCCTGAAGATGAAGGAGGCAGGAATGGGCCAGTGTTGACCCTCCAGTGCATCTTTGTCTTCAGTGCCCCAGCCTTGCCTTCTCTCCTTAGTCTACATGGATAAGAGGAGCTGGGGGTGGCTGACAGGCCCCGGGTGAGCTTGCTCCTCTGCCCCAGGTTTGCACCTAGTAGGCCAGCTCCTCTTGCAGGCCCCACCTGTGTCAGGGCCTGGTGGTGAGCAGCTCATATTTGCCTTTCAGCTTCCTTGCCTGGCTCACCAATGGAACCACCATCAGCTGTCTCCTGTATTTGCGGATCAAGAAGAAGAATCTTCCCTGACCTTACAAGGTGAACTTTGGGATAGACATTGGACTTTTTCAACCCATGGCTCTTGCATAAGGCAGATCACTGGACCACAGCCTCATTCAGGGCCCAGAGGAAGAATGTAAGCGGTGGCCACTGTCATATTTGGTAGAGAATTTCTGTATTTCCTGGATGGTAAGGGACAGTTGAATCACAAGACATTGACTCTGCTTAGTGGGGACTCATTTCTCTTCTGGAGGACCGTGGGGAGAACAATAGCAAATGCAGAGAGGATACATGCACACAGTTGGACTCACACAGCACAGAGAGGATCAGGCTGGTCCCAAAGCCTCTGCTCCCTGGAGGGCCTCCTGCAGCCCAGCTGGTGGCTCCCCTGGCTAGGCAAAGTATCATGGAATGTGCTTGGAAGAGATGAGCTGGTGGCAGGTGGAAGCAACAGGAAAGTAGGCAAGAGGACAGAGCCCAGAGCCAGGAGCATCCAGGTCTCTGTACCCATTGCAGGTCCCCATCATCATCCCTGTCATCACGCTCCTTGCTTCTCTCTACCTGGTGCTGGCACCCATCATCGACCATCCCCCGACAGAGTTCCCGTACATCTTCCTGTTCCTGCTCAGTGGCTTCCTGGTCTATTTCCTGTTTGTCTACTTCTGGTGCCAGCCCAAGTGTTTGCAGATGGCCACTCTGCATCTCCAGCTGCTCCTGGAAGTTGCTCCAACCACTAAAAATGTTAACTAAAGGGCTGGACAGGTCTGCACTGCCCTCTTTGCTGCAGACACCTCCATCCCCACACAAGTGGCCTTGCTAGCTTCTCTGTAGGTTGACTGTGCATAATGCTAATAAGATCCTAAAGAGCTATAACACGGCTGTCGTGGAGCTTTGGGTTATCCATGCAAGACAGTGTCCCCTTCCTTCTCTAAGAACTGCTCCTTCAACACAGCTGGATCTCACAGCCACTCTCGTGTTACACGACTTCCCCTCTGGGTCATAGCTATTTGATAGCTATTTGTAACCCAGGTGGGCACCACGAATCCATTCTCTTTGCCTGGGATTTTGGAATTAGAATTATGATGGCTGCTTGATCTGAGGAATTGCAAATCTTGGGATCTATGTGGGGCCATCTTCCATCATGTGGGCAGAGAAGCAGAGAAAGCCACTGTGCAGAGAAGAGTGAAGAAGATATAGAGCGAGATGGAGTTGAGAAATTATGTGGTCTCCAAGAGTTGGGGGGAAAACCTGAGAGGGCAGCAGCCTTGATCCTTGGTTGTTTTTACAGTTCTGGTCTCTGGCTTCCTGTGGTCTGACTGCCATCTGACTGTCCTTCCTGCTTTTGGATTGTCTAGGACAACCTGATATCTTGTAATAAATTTGCAATTTCTGCTCAAGTGATAGTTTTTATTTCTTGCAACTAGAAAAGCTTTGGCTCTGACAAGCCTTCTTGTTCAGGAAGACACAATACTATAGTTACTGTTTAAAGCTGCCAACTCACTTGAACAGGGAAAGAAGCAAGAGATATATCCCTGGGAAGGAGGGGTTTACTGGCTTTGGGTAAAAGGAAGGACAGTCAAATTTCTAGAAGAAAGGATGAAAAGTTATAACAGACCCCAGAAGGCTACTGTGGTTACAGGACTATATAGAAATGAGGGGGTGGATACATGTGGCTGCCCCGGTGAGAATGTGGGACAGCAGGGAATGACAGCAGTGCCTGGAAAGGCTGGGATGCAGCTCCTGAGTACATCGAGGGAGGTGACTCAAGAAGAGGAGGGCAGAGACTGCCGTTCAGCATCTCTGCTCCGGAAACTGGACCTAGACTGTTCTACACAGGGTTTGCTTCTGTCAGTGAGAGTATTGATATGGAAAAGCCTGCAATGAATGCGGGCATGTCCCATGAGCTTCTTTCTTGTCAGGTTTTTTCCTCACATCAACCAATTCTCCATTTCTCCAACACCAACTGGAGTCCAACAATTCAATTCAGTTCTGACAGGTTAAGAGGCTCAGCCCCACAAGACTGCACTCACATCAGATGTCAGTATGGGGTCCCCAGGTTACCCACACTTCTGTCCAACTTGGTTACAACCCCATCCCTTCAGGTTCGATCATTTGCTAGAATGACTCACACGACTCAGGAAGACACTTGACTTACTATTACGGGTTTATTTTAAAGGACACAAATCAGGAACAGCCAAATGGAAGAGATGCACAGGGCAAGGCTTGGGGACAGGGTGCAGAGCTTCCACGCCCTCTTTGGGTATGTTACTCTCCCACCACCTTGATGTGTTCACCAACCTGGAAGCTCTCTGAACTTTGTCCTTTGGGGGTTTTTATGGAGGTCCCACTGTGTAGGCATGATGGATTAAATCATTGGCTATTGGTGGTTGAATTCAATCTCCAGCCCCTCGCCGGAGGTCAGGGGTGGGGGTAAGGCTGAAATTTCCAACCCTCTAATCACATCTTGGATTTTCTGGCCAACCAGCGCCCCCAACCTGAAGCTATCTACAGGCCCCTAGCCACCAGTCATCTCATTAGGATACAAAAGACACTCATAACTCCGGAGATTCCAAGGCTTTTGGGAGCTGTGTTCCAGAAACTGGGGACAAAGACCGAATATTCATTTTTGTTACATCACACTTCTGAACTGCGGACTCTTTATCAGCCCTGTTCCCGAGAACACTGCCACTAGGAAAATCCTCACATCCCTTACCCCAGCAGCACAGCCTACCCTAGAGAAAAGAAAATGACGAGAGAGGCTGGTTCCATCTGGATCAGGAGGCCTGGATCAGGCTGAGAGTCCACCAGGAAAGGCTTCTGGATACCACAAGCAGGAATTAGTCCTTTGCTCCTCTGGGTCCCACCCAACTGCTTGTGTCTCTGCCTGCCTCTGCCTGCTGGGCCCTGCACCCTGGTGTTTGGTGAGTGTCATAGTCCCCTCTGGGCTGTGGGTTTGCTGAGGGTGGGGGTTAGTTCTTAGACATGTGTGTACATGCCTCGGTTCCCATCGTTGTCCTGGGCTCCTTGGTCATCAATAACGCTTGATGAATCAAAATCACAGCGCACTTGTTGAAGGATGAGAGAATGCATCACATTTATATTTTTTATGATTTTTGCCCATGCCTGTCCTCCCCATAGCCGCTCCTCTGCCCTGGGCTCCAAGGCCCTGTCCTGAGAAGTTCTCTAATGAGGAGGGACATCTCCCAGGTCTTGAGCAGTCCCCCTCCAGCTGGCAGTGGATGCATGCTGGAGGTGGAAAGCAGAGTGACGGGCTGACCCAGCACAGACGCGGCCCTGGGTCATGCATCCTACTTAGGTCGTGTCTCATTTTGGTACTCAGTCTTTCCATTCTTCCGAAGACCACCTGCCTTTTGGCTCCCAGTCCTGTTGTGATAGTAGAAAGGGTCCCCAAGGCCGGGCTCTGGGTGGGCAGCTTCTTGCCCCTTACAGTTTCCTGGCATACCTTCCCTGAGCTCCTGTCCTGCCCAGGGCCCCTTTCTGGACCCCAGGATTGTAGTGAGGAGCGATCCCAGATGGAAATCTGAGACTTCTTAAGAAATTAGTACATTGGACTTGCTTGCTCTGAGTCATGATCATGGTCTTCATTGTTACTCTTCTTTTGTAAGTTCAGAGATGACATAGTAAGTGTCATGGTGCTGGCCTTTGGACTGGAAAAATATGAGTCTTGGGGACAAGGGCCAGAGTCCTCATTGTTCCCTCTGGAGAAGCAATAAGTACCAGGAAATCTCTGGGGCAGGTGTTGGCTGGGTTCCTGGGGGGCAGAGCAGTGTTCTCTCACCCCAGGTCAGCCCCATCAACGTCCGGTGTCTCCGTTTTGGGCAAAGCCTGGCTACTCTGAGACAGAAGCACTCAATTCTTTGGACTTCCTTTTGGCCATTTACACTGTCTTCTGCTGAATAGTTGAAGTTGGGGACCTGGGTCTCATAGATTAATCCACACAAATGAATGTCATGGTTAAAATTTCAAACATTGCAAAGGATATGAAGTGAAAATCAAAATTTCTTACTTCACACTCCCAATTTCCAGAGCAGTCCGGTTCTTTGCTTCCTTCCAGAAAGTTTCTGTGCACATACAAGTAAACCATGACAGAGTCCACTGCTGCTCTCTGCTCATAGGAGAAATCATGACCTGTTCTGTTCCACCTGTGGAGAAGAAGCAATTCTTCCTTCAGACCTCCATCACCAGACCTGGGGTCTGAGTCCTCCCCTGTGGTGGTTATTCATGCTGTTCACTATTTCTAGCTCTCCCCTGAGCAGATGGTAGGATTGCATTTCCCTGCCCCCTTGGAGTTAGATGTGATTATATGACTTATTTTGGTCAGTAAAATGTGAGTTGAAATGATGTATGTTATGCTAGGTTGAAGCCTCAAGAGTCAGTGCACAATTTCCTACAATTTCCCTCTGCTTTGGTGACTGGCAGTGTTCCACTGGCTGCTCTGTTAGTTTGGGTCCTTGTGTAAGAATGACGTGGAGAGGAGCCAGCCCCCGCCAACCCTATATGGGCATGCAGTGTGAGCAAAATTAACCTTTGTTGTTTTAAACCACTGAGATTTGGGGGATGTTTGTTACTGCAGCATAATGTAGCCCATACTGACTGTTCATCCCTCCTTCATTCAGGAGTCTTAAAGTGCCTGGTACTATTGACCAATTGAGATCGGCCCCGATTGTAGAGTTGGCGAGGAAGGCACACTTGATGTGAGGTCCTCTTCCCCCTCGTCTCCTCGAAGTTTCTCCTCCTCCTTCACACTTCAGTGACTCTTCATCTGTCTTCCTTGTCCTCTCCTCCTGGCACCCCACTACATTCTTCCTTCCTTTCCACAGTTACAGTCTTATTTCACCTCTGGGAGAGGAAAAACTGGTTCTCCAAATACGCATGAATGAAATTTTGTCTAGCGAGGACTTTTGAATCTTTGTTCCTGCTGAGGTGTGGGCTGAAGAAAGAAAAACTGTCCAGCCCAGCCCTTGGGGGTACCAGTGAGAGAGATGGAGGGAGGTAAACACACAGAAAAAAGCCAGAAGATTATTACTTCGAGATATAACCCTGACACACACAGATAAACACACATGTACACCATCCCTTTTAAAATAGAAATGGGCTGTACTATAGATTTTCCTAAAAGGTCCTTAACAATTGATCTGGGAAAGCTTTCTATATGATACTTTGAATATAAGCACAGACCTCTCTTTTTAATAGCTGCTTAATATTAACTGGCCCATTGTTCATGGACATTTGGTTGTTTCCATTTATTATATTATAAGCAAAGCTAGAGGGACCATCTTGGTGTATAGGAAAGTGATGATCCTATAATAGGCACCCTCTTCCTTCCTGAATCATCACTCTTTCCTCTATGTCATAGTCATTCTTCTGAATTAGTGTTTGCCATTATTTTTTCGTATAAATTAAACCCATTTCAGATGTAGTAAGATGCATCTAAACTGTAAAGTTACCATGACACGGACTGTGAGATTCGTTAACTGCTGCTTTGCCTATAGAACATAGATGCTCTTGGGGGCCGGCCCCGTGGCTTAGCAGTTAAGTGCGCGTGTTCCACTACTGCCGGCCCGGGTTCAGATCCGAGGCGTGCACCGACGCACTGCTTCTCTGGCCATGCTTCTCTGGCCAGAAGGATGTGCAACTATGACGTACAACTATCTACTGGGGCTTTAGGGGGGGAAAAAAAAGGAGGAGAATTGGCAATAGGTGTTAGCTCAGAGCTGGTCTTCCTCAGCAAAAAGAGGAGGATTAACATGGATGTTAGCTCAGGGCTGATCTTCCTCAAAAAAAAAAAAAAAAAAAAGAACATAGATGCTCTTAAATTAGGTTGATTCTTTTCATTTATATAAACTCTGGATGGAAACTTTTTGTAAAATGAAGAATCTCAGAACTTTCTTTAAAATATCTCTTACACCGACTCCAGAGTCTATCATCTAATCAGGGATCTTGGGAGTGAGTGTAAAGCATTTGGGAGCCATTAAAATAGCTTAAAAAATTGAAGAAAAAATAGCATTTTGCAAGCCATCTCTGAATATATTCCCTCAGGAAACATCTTTTTAGGGAATAAAGTTTAGATTTGTGCACCTATGCTTTTCATTTTAGAACCAAAAATGCAACACAATTTTTAATGGTGGGAAATTATGTGACATTATACACATATATTTTTAAAAAGGTCAGAATTTTATTGCTTTGGTCCAAAGACCTGTTCAAGCCCTTCAGAAAAAAAGGCCAGATACAACGCTATCTTTAAAAAAATAACACAGAAGTAAAACAGAAACAATGAATTTCTGAATGTAAGACTAACGGCATCTTTAGGGTTAGTTTCCCGTCAGAGGCGATCAGGTCAGTATGTCACCAACTCCAGCTGATCTGTTTAGAGGCAAAAAGGCAGAGAAACTCTTAGATGGTGAGACAAGACTCGGGTAGAAAGATAGCCACTTGGCAGAGAAGAGCAACCAGCCTCCTCCTCACTTCTCGTGGGCACAGGCCCGTCCTGGGCCCTCCCACAGGCCCTGGGGATTGTGTGAGGGACAGACGAGGCTGGACAACCCTGAGTTACTGCCTTTGTGTGGCGACCCTGTGCCAGGAGCCCCATCTCTGTCTGCGATTCATTGATCCTGGCGCCGCTCACAACTGTTAATCATTACGGCCCAGAGAGCGGCCTCTTGAGTGTGAGCCTCAAACAGGGAGAGATTCCACTCCGTCTCTAGGGGCAACCAGTCCATTCTAAAGTCGGTGTCACCCGCTTCACGCTCCCACGCTGGGAATGTCCCCCTGGCTGGCCCGCTCCAGGAGCATGGCGGGGCCTGACTGGGCAGCCCAGGGACTATGTGTGGGATCAAGTGAGGGAATGGCAACAAGGGCAGTTTGGCTCAGATGATGGGGTGCCCCCAAGGGAGGCATGCAGGCTTTAGTCCAAAGGCAAGAGAGTTAACTGCAGCTTCAGAGAGGAGAGGGGGGCTTTGGAAGATGAATCTGGCTCCTTGTGCTGTAAGGATGAGGACGGGGTGGCTAGCTAGGGGCCCTGGGTGAAGCAGCAGGTATGGGGGGCGTGGATGGATCTGAGCCCTAAGCAAGGGAGGACTGCCTGGTGTTCTTGTCGTGGGTGAGGAGAAGGAGATGTCAGCGCTGACTCTCAGGGTCTGAGCCCTGGTGACCAGGTGAACATGTTATGGTTCCTGGAAATAGGGAAGAGAGGAAGAGGGGCAGTTTTGGAGGACAGTGAGGTATTTTATTTCGTTCAGTTTGAAATGCTGTGAAACTTTCCTGTGGAGTTAAGTGAGTTTGCATATCCAGAACTCAAAAACCAAGTCAAGGCTGGAGATGCATATTTGGAAGTAAAGGTGGAAATTGAACCCACGGAAGTGAATAACAGTGCTGAAGACAGACTTTTTGACGCCACAAATAAGCTGTTTAAGGGAATGACCAAGCTCCCAGAAATCTACTATCCCCCACTTGCCACCACACATACCCCTATGCACACTTCCCACATGCGGGTCACCACACTCATGCTCCCTGCTGGAGAACCCAGAGTGTATCACACAGAGGTACTCCAAAGAATTTTCTTTTTAATATGGGGGTGGGAGCTTGATACAAAGAGGATAGCCAGGTCCCTGTTGACACTGCCCCCTGTCCTTAGAGCCGTCCCCTCCCCTAATCCGCCACACTCAGAGTCCTGGCCCCTGGTCTGGCCTCAGTGATGTCCGAATAAACCGCCAGTGCTTGGAAGGCAGAGGGAGTGTTGGGAGCTTTGATCTGCTGCCTTGCACCACAGCTCCCCTGGGCCCAGGCCCTGCCTGCTGGGCCCCACCTCCCAGGGCCTGGGGTCCTGTTTCTGAACTGCCCCAGGGCTGGATCCTGCCCCCACCTGCCCCTTTCTGGTACCGAGTGCTGGGCATGAAGGCCATCCTCACACCTTGCCTGCTGTCGACTGGGAACTTTTCTGATGCTCCTGCCCACTGGTTTACTTGGTTGTTCCTCGCACAGCCTCTCGGCTCCTGCTCTTTATCCATTGCTCCCCCGTGGCTGCCAGCCACTGAGGCTGAAGACAGCTGGAGGCTTCACCTGATGCTTCTGGGCTAATGGGCTCTGGCTGGGGAGAAGCTGGCAGGACAGGGAGCAAACTAGGAGCAAGTCCCTTCTCTCTTCCTGCCTGCCAATCTGCTTCTGGTGCCCCCTGTCGGCAGAACCCGCTGGGAACCAGCTGACAAGGGAGACGGAATTTGCAGAGCTCTAGCCCCAGCACCATGAAGCGGAGGAAGGCGGGTCTGGATCTGAACCAATGGCTTGAGGCCTAACTAGCAAAGTGCCCTGCCCACCTTTCCCTGCTTGGCAAACTCTTGCCCACCCTCCATATCTCAGCTCAGGTGTTGTTTCCTCCAGGCAGCTTCCTCTGGACCCAGTGCCCACTGTGGTTTCCCACAGAACCCTGCGTCCACTTCTAACCAGCACAAGCCCACTTGCAGGAAAGCCCTCTCTTTATGTGCCTGCCGCCCTTACTTGGCTGGGAGCTTCTGGAGGAGAGACACTTGGTCTAGCAACTTTTCAAATAATTGGGGCTTACCACACAGCTCAATAATTCTCTGTTGAATGTAGTTCCTGAAGTTGTCAGCGCTCTCTGGAAGAAAGTTGGGGAGTAAGCAAGGAGTGATGGTTTTGCTCCCAGTTCTCTCTCTCATGCTGGGGTTCCGAGACACTGCCACCTTGTCCTGTGACAATAATCATGATTATCATTTATTGAACCCTTGGCAGGTACCATGCACTATTCTTCACTTTCCACATATATCAACTCATTTTATCTTCACAAGTGTATAAACTGAGGCACAGAGAGGTTAAGCAACTTGTCTAATGCCACACAGTTAGAAAGAGCTAGAACCAGAATTTGAATTCAGGAGTCTGAGTTCCAGAGCTTGTGCCCTTAGCCACTATGTTGCCCAAGAATAATGGGAATTAGGAAAATAAGGCCAACTTAGGATGCTGATGTCAATGACAATAATAAATTAGCGATAAAATATTACCTCCATAGTAGATAATTTTCTATCATATTCCCCCTTTCCAGGGAATAATACCTCCTTTCTTTTGGGGAAAATATGATCTCCAAATATGTAGTTCTAGAAGAGTCTGCTAAACATAGTGCCCTACACCACAGGTGAACATGTGACCCAGGTGGGACCAATGAGAACCTTCTCTGGGATTTTTCAAGTTGGTACTGGTAGATAAGGAAAGCTGGGAGATGCTCCAGGCTTATGGGAGAAGCCAGACTGACAGGAAAGAAGCTGATTCACAGAGAGATGCAGGCATGAGAGAAGAGGAGATTGCCTCCTTTCCCTGTCCTGAGTCTTGATACTCTGAGCCAGTAAATTCCTCTTTGGCCTCATCTGGTTTACGTCTGGTTTCTCATACTTGTGACTGAAACAGCCCTAACTAATAGCAACTTAGAGTTTACAAAACCCTTTCACAGGTAGTTGATTCTTATACTAGCCTGAGGAGGCAGGCGAGGTCACTCTCATACCCCCATGTTTCAGAAGGGAAACTGAGGTCCAGAGCAGCTAAGTGACTTGCCAAGCAGCAGGTCAGTGGCCGAGCTGGCCAAGCAGCCAGTGGCTTCCCCTTGGGCCACTGTCTACACTCTGCCTTGTGCTCCCCTGGGGCCCTGTGGAGTGGGGGTCTCGGCCCCACACCTCCCTCAGTAGTACTGGCACCTTAACTTTGACCTGGTCTTTGCCTCCATTCATTCCTCTAGTCTGCTTGACATGGGGCCTATGGGAGGTGGGGGGCCACAGGGCAGGGGACGACAGACTCTAGGACCTGGCACTTCCCACGACCGTGGAGCTCACAGGGCTGTGCAGGACAGAGGGTGCCTGGGAGCAGCCAGGGAGCAGCTGCAAGAGTGCCCACATGCAGTAAAGCAGTAGTGAGACCACCAGCAAACTGTGCCCGGGCCAGGGAGTGCACCTACCTGGCACCTCGCCCACTTCTGGGCACCTTGAGGGCACGCTTATGGGGAAGTTCCTCCTCTTGCCAAACCAGATTTAGGGTGTTCTCTCCGGTCTGGGCCCCAGCACAGGGAATGGATTGAGTGTAGAGGCCTCCTCTGGCCTGGGGGCTGGAAAACCGGAGGCACCTTGGGGTCTGGAGCTTGGCGATCCAGCTTGGGGTTGCCAAATGCCGACACTGGCTACTATTTTGAATCCTAGTTTAGAATCTTCTTTCCCCTGGCAAGAAGAACAGTGAGCCTGGGGCTGGAGGGAACTTCCTGCTTCCTGCTGGTGTCAGCACTGGTCTGGGAGGGCCGTCCTTCTGTGGTTGATGTAAGCCCCACACCTCCCACCCTCCACCAGGCTGACTCATCCAGGGTTAGAAGGCTGTGCTCCCTTCTGCCCAGGGAGCAGTTCTCTGCAGGTTTGCTCCTCTCTCCTGGCCTGGGCCGGAAGCAGTCTTGGTGATAACGGCAGCAGTGGCTGCCCTGTCTGTGCAGCCTGCCCGATGCCGTCTTGCATCCTCCCATGACTTGAGTGGCACCGCATTTCACAAAGAAAGAAACTAGGGTTGCCAAATTTAGCAAAAAATAAAATAAAATAAAAAAGAGATGCCTAGTGAAATTTGAATTTCAGATAGACAACAAATGCTTTTTAGTGTGAGTGCGTGCTATATTTTACTGTGAACTCTAAAAGAAGCTCAAGCCCAGGAGGTGAGTGGCCCACGTGGGTCCTGTGGTTGGCATCACAGGGTATTGCTGCTCAGCCAAGGGCTCACTACGCCCCACAGCCTGCAGGCAGGTCAATCATGGTCACCACTGCGACTCCTGCCCCGGGGTCATAGGTGCTCCCCTCTGGGTTGTGAGGATGCTGGCGGAAGGGGGGATTATGATCTAACCCTGCCACAGAAGGAAGCAGACACTCTGCAGCAGTGATTTCAAAACCTTGTCATGGACCAGCAGCATGAGCATCTGTGATGGTTAGTTTTCTGTGTCAACTTGACTGAGCACAGTCATGGGGTGCACAGACATTTGGTCAAACATTCTTCTGGGTCTGTCTGTGAGGGTGTTTCTGGATGAGATTAACATTTGAATCAATGGCCTTTGAGTAAAGCAGATTGCCCTCCCCAATGTGGGTGGGCCTCAACCAATCAGTTGAAGGCCTGAATAGAACAAAAAGACTGACCCTTCTGTGAATAAGAGGGAACTCCTCCTGTCTGACTGCTTTTGAGCCGGGACATTGGTTTTTCCTGCCTTCACACTCAAATGAAACATCAGCTCTTCCTGGGTATCGAGCCTGCTGGTCTTCAGACTGAAACTACACCAATGCTCTCCTGGGTCTCCAGTGGGCTGACCACAGATCTCGGGACTTCTCAGCCTCCATAGTCATGTGAGCCAACTCTCTTTATATATATATATATATATATATATGGAGAGAGAGAGGGAGAGAGAGAGAGAGGGACAGAGAGAGACTTATTAGGACAAATAGGAGACATATATCTTGGACTTTGTGAGAAATGCACATTTTCTTGTGTCCTAATCAAACCTACTGGATCATAAACTCTTGGTGTGGGGCTCAGCAATCTGAGTTTTAACGAATCCTCTAGACAAGTTCTGATGCTTATTAAAGGTTGAGAACCGCTGCTCTAAAAATGAACATTGGGGTAGAAGGGGGAGCTTGAAGCCCTTGACTGAGGTCTTTCATCTGCTACTGGGTTATTCTTGGGTCTCACCGAGCATTCAGTTTGGTTTGGTTATCCAATAAGTGGGTCCTGAACATTTGGGCTTCTACATGGCCTGGACGTGGGGTGATGCAGAGGGAGATGAGGGTTGCCCAGACCACACCATCTACTTCCATGTGCTAAGGACTGACCTTGATTTCATCGGGTAATTTTTGAAGCTAATATGTTCCTCTAGTAATTCAGGTTAGGACTGGATTTTAATTTACTGGGGCACTGTATTAGTCAGGGTTCTCAAGGAGAAACAACCAATAGGATATCTATATAGATACATAGAGATTCATTATAAGGGGATGGCTCATGTGATTACGGAGGCTGAGAAGTCCCACGATGTGCTGACTGCAACCGGGAGGCCCAGGAAAGCTGGTGGTATACTTCCAGTCCAAACCCGCAGGTCTGAGAACCAGGGACCGACGGTGTAAGTCCAAGTTCAAGTCGGAAGGCTTGAGAACCAGAGTGCCGGCGCCCAAGGGCAGGAGAAGATGGACGTCTCAGCTCCAGGAAAGAGCCAATTCACTCTTCCTCCACCTTTTTGTCATATTCAGCCCCTCAACCGATTGGATGATACCCACCAGTATCGGTGAGGGCGATCTTCTTTACCTAGTCTACTGATTCAAATGCTAATCTCTTCTGGGAACACCCTCACAGACACACCCAGAAATAGTATTTTACCAGCTGTCTGGACACCCCTTAGCCCAGTCAGGTTGACACATGAAATTAACCATCCACAGGCACCCACTCCCACACTCCACTCCTTTCTACTCCACTCACCCTGTTTCTAAAAGATTTTATCACCTAGTCTGAGGCACCTGGTATTCTTGTTGGTTCTCTCTCTCAGTGTGGAGCATTTTTGAACAAGTCTCTTCACCTCGCTGTGCCTCAGTTTCCTCATCTGTAAGACAAGGAGGTGAAGCCTTGCTTCACAGGGAAGTTGTAAGGATAGAATAAGAAAGTGTTTAGCAAGCTTCTGAGGACTGGGCACATTGAAGGGGTGTTAAAATTACACGTTCACCGCCTTCTAGTGGCCACTGACATCTGGGCATCATGTGTCCCCGAGGGGTAGGAAAGGCTGGCCGGGCTGTGCTGGGCCCATACACTGGACAACATGAAAGAGCTCTGCAGCAGGCCCTGGCTGCAGCCACAAGCGCCCCTGCCGCTTGGGCCATAGGATCCAGTAGACCCTGTGGTGGCAGAGGTATCAGTGGTGGGACAAGATGCCATGTAGAGTTTGTGGCCAGCCCCAGCTGGGAGAATCACAATGCAGACCGTTGGGGTTCTGGAGCAAGGCCATGCCCTCTGGGGTAGAGAACTAAACGCTTTTTGAAAGACAATTTCTGGCATGCTTTCGCGTCCTAGAACAGATAGAACCTCTGAGCGCAAGACACCAAGTGACCACGCAGGTGAAACTACTCATCATCAAAGTCCTGTCAGAACCACCGAATCGTAAGGTTGGGCAGGCCCAGCCACAACCCACGGCGAGATGGGAGAGGCGCATCTCTGAGCGTCAGCAGGACCAGCAGGCACGGCAAGCAGGTGGCCCCGGAACCCCGTGGCACCCACCACAGCTGCCCCAGTGCCCTCCCTCAGCTCCTGCCCATGACTCCTGGGAGGAGCCTCAACCACCAGCTGAAGGAAGGGGAAAGAGCCGAGCTTGCTTCATGGATGGGTTCCCTTGGTTACGTGGGTGTAAACCGAAACGGCCGGCAGCCGCACTGGAAACTCTAA